CACCCAGGGATGGCGAGGTCTCATTTGAGTCTGCGGTGGGTACCCACTGTGCTGGGCCCCCCAGCAGGCCTCGAAAGTGGCGAAAGTTTCACAGATCGCAGCCCCCCAAAGATGGCGAGGTCTAATTTGGGTCTGCGGTGGGTACCCACTGTGTTGGGCCCCTCAGCAGGCCTCGAAAGTGGCGACAGTTTCACAGATCGCAGCCCCCAGGGATGGCGAGGTCTAATTTGAGCCTGCGGTGAGTACCCACTGCGCTGGGCCCCCCAACAGGCCTCGAATGTGGCGACAGTTTCACAGATCGCAGCCTCCCAGGGACGGCGAGGTCTAATTTGAATCCGCGGTGAATACCCACTGTGCTGGGCCCCCCAGCAGGCCTCGAAAGTGGCGACAGTTTCACAGATCGCAGCCCCCCAGGGATGGCGAGGTCTAGTTTCAGTCCGCGGTGGGTACCCACTGTGTTGAGCCCCCCAGCAGGCCTCGAAAGTAACGACAGTTTCACAGATCGAAGAGATCGCAGTCCCCCCAGAGAATGGCGAGGTCTAATTTGAATCCGCGGAGGGTAACCCACAGGCTGAGTAGCCCACCCAGCAGGCCTCGAAAGTGGCGACAGTTTCACAGATCGCAGCCCCCCAGGGATGGCGAGGTCTAATTTGAGCCCGCGGTGGGTACCCACTGTGCTGAGCCCCCCAGCAGGCCTCGAAAGTGGCGACAGTTTCACAGATCGCAGCCCCCCAGGGATGGCGAGGTCTAGTTTGAACGCTGTAGGGTACCCACTGTGCTGGGCCCCCCAGCAGGCCTCGAAAGTGGCGACAGCTTCGCAGATCGCAGCCCCCCATGGATGGCGAGGTCTAATTTGAGTCCGCGGTGGGCACCCACTGTGTTGGGCCCCTCAGCAGGCCTCGATAGCGGCGACAGTTTCACAGATCGCAGCCCCCCAGGGATGGCGAGGTCTCATTTGGGTCCGCGGTGCGTACTGTGACGGGCCCCCCAGCAGGCCTCGAAAGCGGCGACAGCTTCACAGATCGCAGCCCCCCAGGGACGGCGAGGTCCAATTTGAGTCAACGGTGTGCACCCACTGTGCTGGGCCCCCCAGCAGGCCTCGAAAGCGGCGACAGCTTCACAGATCGCAGCCCCCCAGGGATGGCGAGGTCAAAGGCAGGGGGGGGAGAGAGGGACGGGGGGGGGGAGGAAGGTTCGCGCGAGCAGTGCTCTATTCAATACTACTACGGCGGCGACGACGCCAACGACGTCCCGCGCGAGCGCCGAACGTCCTGCTCCTCATGCGCCTCCTCCTCCTCCTCGGACTCCGCCGCCTCCTCCTGCCCCGCAGCCCCCCTGCAACGTACCCAACCCATGCGCGTGAAGTTGCAAGAGTAGCTGGCCAACATGCGGTGGGTACCCACTGTGCTGTGCCCCTCAGCAGCCCTCGAAAGTGGCGACGGTTTCACAGATCGCAGCCCCCCAGGGATGGCGATGTCTAATTTGAATCTGCGGTGGGTACCCACTGTGCTGTGCCCCTCAGCAGCCCTCGAAAGTGGCGACAGGTTCACAGATCGCAGCCCCCCAGGGATGGCGAGGTCTAATTTGAATCTGCGGTGGGTACCCACTGTGCTGGGCCCCTCAGCAGGCCTCGAAAGTGGCGACAGTTTCACAGATCGCAGCCACCCAGGGATGGCGATGTATCATTTGAGTCTGCGGTGGGTACCCGCTGTGCTGCGCCCCTCAGCAGCCCTCGAAAGTGGCGACAGTTTCAGAGATCGCAGCCCCCCAAGGATGGCGAGGTTTAATTAGAGTCTGCGGTGGGTACCCACTGTGCTGTGCCCCTCAGCAGCCCTCGAAAGTGGCGACAGTTTCACAGATCGCAGCCCCCCAGGGATGGCGAGGTCTAATTTGAGTCTGCGGTGGTACCCACTGTGCTGGGCCCCTCAGTCGCCCTCGAAAGCGGCGACGGTTTCACAGATCGAAGCCCCCCAGGGATGGCGAGATCAAATTTGAATCTGCGGTGGGTACCCACTGCGCTGTGCCCCTCAGCAGCCCTCGAAAGTGGCGACGGTTTCACAGATCGCAGCCCCCCCAGGGATGGCGAGGTCTAATGTGAGTCTGCGGTGGGTACCCACTGTGCTGGGCCCCTCAGCAGGCCTCGAAAGTGGCGACAGTTTCACAGATCGCAGCCCCCCAGGGATGGCGAGGTCCCATTTGAGTCTGCGGTGGGTACCCACTGTGCTGGGCCCCCCAGCAGCCCTCGAAAGTGGCGACAGTTTCACAGATCGCAGCCCCCCAGGGATGGCGAGGTCCTATTTGAATCCGCCGCGGGTGCAGACTGTGTTGGGCCCCCCAGCAGGCCTCGAAAGTGGCGACAGTTTCGCAGATCGCAGCCCCCCAGGGATGGCGAGGTCTAATTTGAGTCCGCGGTGGCGTACCCACTGTGCTGGGCCCCCCAGCAGGCCTCGAAAGTGGCGACAGTTTCACAGATCGCAGCCCCCCAGGGATGGCGAGGTCTAATTTGAATCTGCGGTGGGTACCCACTGTGCTGAGCCCCCCGCAAGCAGGCCTCGAAAGTGGCGACAGTTTCACAGATCGCAGCCCCCCAGGGGATGGCGAGGTCTAGGTCTAATTTGAATCTGCGGTGTGTACCCACTGTGCTGGGCCCCCCAGCAGGCCTCGAAAGTGGCGACAGTTTCACAGATCGCAGCCCCCCAGGGATGGCGAGGTCCCATTTGAGTCCGCCGTGGTACCCACTGTGCTGGGCCCCCCAGCAGGCCTCGAAAGTGGCGACAGATTCACAGATCGCAGCCCCCCAGGGATGGCGAGGTCTAATTTGAATCCGCGGTGTGTACCCACTGTGCTGGGCCCCCCAGCAGGCCTCGAAAGTGGCGACAGTTTCACAGATCGCAGCCCCCCAGGGATGGCGAGGTCTAATTTGAGTCTGCGGTGTGTACCCACTGTGCTGGGCCCCCCAGCAGCCCTCGAAAGTGGCGACAGTTTCACAGATCGCAGCCCCCAGGGATGGCGAGGTCTAATTTGAGTCTGCGGTGGGTACCCACTGTGCTGGGCCCCCCAGCAGGCCTCGAAAGTGGCGACAGTTTCACATATCGCAGCCCCCCCAGGGATGGCGAGGTCTAATGAGAGTCTGCGGTGTGTACCCACTGTGCTGGGCCCCCCAGCAGGCCTCGAAAGTGGCGACAGTTTCACAGATCGCAGCCCCCCAGGGATAGCGAGGTCTAATTTGAATCTGCGGTGTGTATCCACTGTGCTGGGCCCCCCAGCAGCCCTCGAAAGTGGCGACAGTTTCACAGATCGCAGCCCCCAGCAGCCCTCGAAAGTGGCACAGGGATGACCAGGTAGGAGGCAGGGGGGAAGAGAGGGACGGGAGGGGGTGGGAAGGAGACGGTGGGAAGGAGACGGTGGGAAGGAGACGCGCGAGCAGTGCTCTATTCAAAACGAGAACCCAACGCAGGAGGGTTGGGAAAAACACGTATATGTTATCGGAGGGGGATCAACAATGAGAAGAATTCAATAATGGAATTCAACAGCAAGAACCTAAATCTCAACATCACCAACGTCAACATCAGAATGCTCAGCCTCAGCAGCATCATCGTCATCATCTGCATCAGCATCATCATCATCAGCAGCAGCAGCATCGTCATCATCATCATCATCATCAGCATCATCATCATCATCATCATCGTCATCATCATCGTCATCATCATCATCACCATCATCAACATCATCAGCAGCAACAGTATCATAATCGGCATCAGCAGCATCGCCAGCATCAGCAGCATCAGCATCAGCATCACCATCAGCATCAGCATCACCATCAGCATCAGCATCAGCATCATCAGCAGCAGCATCATCTCCATTATCCTCAGCTTCCTCCTCGCCCTCCGTCCTTCATTTCACTGATGTTATTCCTCTTACTCCTCCTCCTCCTCCTCCTCCTCCTCCTCCTCCTCCTCCTCCTCCTCGGACGTACCTGGGGGATGACTGGGTCAGCTCCATCACACTTGCGGGGCGCCTACCGCCACAGCTGGTACCTCACAGAGGAGGCAAGAGCGCGGGCACGGCATTCAGGAAGATGGTCAATTTCGGCCCTGTGAGCGTTGATGGTGTTGAAGAGGAGGGTAGCAGCGGCAGGCAGCAGGAGGCTCTCGGCCGAGGGGGAGGAGAGACCAAGTCGCTCGATGGGACATCCTGGGAGCACTCTCTTCTGGAGGACCAGCGCTAAAATGGCCAGGAACCGAGGGCAAGACCAATAGTGTGGCAAACTGTCAGAGCTGGATGATATTCCACATGGCACACAGCCTAGAACACAGAGGGCAGGCTTCTGAAAGCGAGCCTCCGTCGTCCATCCGTTGACGAGGAGTTTCAAAATCGCATTCGACTGAACTGGTGGAAGCTTCAAGAGACAGTGCTGGGTTTCGGACCAGGGCCAACCGGCGAGGGTCTCCAGGGATATCGGGAGCCAGGCATTTAATCGCTTGCAGAAAATACCGACCAATGGGTCGGGACACCGAACTTCTAGGAGTGTCAGGGCGAGCTTTCCCTGGATCTTCGCACGGAGATTCGGGGGAGGAGGAGGGAGCGAGGTGACGGCAGAGGTGGCAGCAGCAGCGAGGAGCTCACGAGCGGGGTGGGAGGAGGTGACTAGATCTTGCCCAATGTTGGCAGGAAAGCAAGCTGAGGCGGAAGACAGGAATTCCGCGAACCTCCTCCTCCTCCTCCTCCTCCTCCTCCTCCTCCTCCTCCTCCTCCACATCCTCCACCACGGAGGGAGGGAGGGGATGGGGGGAGGAGGGAAGGCGTCAAGGGGGGGAGGGCGGAAGCAGAGGGGAGGGGAGAGGGGAGGTTGAAGAGGGAGGAGTGGGAGAGGTACTCGAAACTCGGCCTGCGTCTTGCACCGCGGGGGTGCTGCAGGAGTGGGACAAGGAGAACACAAAGATGGAGGCTCCAGCCTCCAGAGAAGACTGTCGGACCCTTCTGGGAAACGAGTGCGGGTC